GAGAGAATTTTTAATATTTATTTTTTAGTTCTCGGCGGACACAACATCTTTGTTGGTATGTGGTGCTGAGGATCGAACCTGGGCCCCATGCATGCCAGGCGAGCGTGCTACCGCTTGAGCTACATCCCCAGCCCCGGAAGTGGCCTGTTCTTCAGTATTGTTGGGAAGGTAAACTGGTCCATCCACAGAGAATCTTCAATGTTAAAAAAACCAGGCTGCAGGCCGGGGCTGTGGTTCAGTGGCAGAGCATTTGCCTAGCAAGTGTGAGGCACTGGATTCAATCCTCTGCACCGCATAAAAAATAAAGGCATTGTGTCCATCTACAAATATTAAAAACAAAACAAAATCAAACCACCCTAGCTAGCCAGCCGCACCGCAACCCCATGGACTCTGGAGACCAAGCCAGAAGGACCCCAAGTTCGAGCTAGTCTGGGCAGTGGTTAAGACCACAGGAAAATTAAAAGGATGTAGCTCAGGGATGGGATTGTGGCTCAGTAGCAGAGCACTCGTCTAACTCACAGGAGGCCCTGGGTTCGATCCTCAGCACCACATAAAATATTGTGTCCAACTTAGCTTTAAAAAGGGTGTGTGTGTGTAGCTCAGTGGTAAAGCACCCCTGGGCTCAAACCCAGTACCAAAGCTGCGGGATGGGGGTGGGGGAATGGGAAGAAACAGTAGAATGACGTAACCTGTCTGTCCATGTGTGAATACACAGCCAGTGTACTCCACATAATGCACAACCCCAGGAATGGAGAACTACACCTCATGTGTGTCAAGACGCACTCTACTGGGCCAGGGCTGTGGCTCGGTGGTAGAGAGCCTGCCTAGTAGTATGAGGCACTGGGCCCGATTCCTCCGGTACCACATAAAAACAAAGAAATAAAGGTATTGTGTCCATGTACTAGTAAAAAACAAAACCAAAACTCTCCACTGACATTCAAAAAGAATTAAAACAAACAACTACACCCCCAAACCCTGTCAACTCTACCCAGCAATTTATTAGCATAGCACCCCACATGGTAAAGGGACATCAGTTTCCCCCAAGACTTGCCTCAGAGGAAAGGTCCTGAGGTAGAGGAACCAGCTGTCGAACAGGGACAGGGTGACCAATGGGCTTCTGCAGGGTCCCACCCCCAGACCTCTATTTCCTGTGACTCCATGGACACAGCTCAGCAGGCCCCACTCCTGGGCCTCTGCAGGCCCACTGTGCAGAGGAGTGGGGTGTCTGGACACTGCAGATCTAGGGCCTAGGTCTCCTCTCAACCTGTGGGTCTCTGGGATATTAAGGTAGGCCCCATAGCCTGTCCCCAGTGCTCACATGGTGGTCATTTCCCGACTATTGACAAAACAGTAAATGTCATGCTGACCTTCAGATGAAAATAGCAAGCACCAGAAAGCCAGGGCTGCCCAAGGTCATACGCCAGGGGAAGGAGGCTCCCCAAACCAAGTTCTTGGCCGAGTCTCTGCTCCATCTCTGCAGGCCTAGCTTCCTGTGGTTGGGGGCTCAGCCAGGGTGGCGACCTCCAGGGTGGGATTAGCTTGTGCCTGGTATTTTCCAGGCCTGAACTTGTTCCCTGGAGACAAGCACCTAAGGGGAGACCTTAATCTTCTTAGGCAAGATTAGCGCTACCTCATCCAAGAGAGCAGGTCCCCAGGATGGCAAGCAGGTGCCCCCACGTACCTGCAGAGAATGTGGGGAACTGCAAACCCAGTTAGTTCTAAGCCAGGGTCAGCGTAGAGGGTGAAGCCTCAGGAGGCAACAGGGAATGCTATCCCACCACCTCAGAGGACTCTGGCCAGGGGCAGGAGATGGACAGGGCTGAGGCCTGTGTCTCAAACAGTGTGGGGACAGATCCAGGGGACTATGACCTGCAGCTCACAACCCTGGACTGGCTGAACAAACAGGAGGGAGCTCAGAGGACTGGGGAGATGTGGGTTGGTTTTGCACCAAGGACTTTAGTATGCAAGGCTCAGCTCAGTTGTCCCCCAGGGAGGTGACCTGGGCTGGATTCCTCTCACTGCTCAGTCTTGAGTTCTGCAGAGCGTGCAAAAGAAAACACAGGTCTGAGCCTAAGAATCAAGTTTATTTGGCTAACGCCTGGGGGGGCTTTGAACCTAGAAGAAGGTGTTGGGCCTCTTGGTGGTGAAGCGTGGCTTGTGCTGGCGACGCAGGACCCGATGGGGCAGCGGGAACTTGATCTTGGAGTCCTGTGGGGAGAAGGTAGTGAGGGGATGGAGGCCTCTTACCTGCATCTTCTGGGGGTCACCCAGGTGTGACAAGCCCCCTGTGCAGGACCCCCTAGGTGCAGCCTGCCCAGCAGGGCCCTTAGGGCACTCACGTGGAACTGCTTGACAGCCGGCCGCCGGCACTTGCTGGCCGCAATCTCCTCCACCTTCATGATCTGGATGGAGTGGGCCCGGGCACGGTGCCGGGCACCCATGTCTCGGTCTGCACAGGGGGGAAGGGGCAGTCAGCCAGGTAGTAGCCTGGGGGCTCCACCTGGGGGATGACTAGAGGTCACAGGCTCTGGCCCCAGCAGGCCTGGTCAAAGGAGTGTAGAACCTCCAAATTCACTTTGAGGGGCACAGCCACAGCCTCTCAAAGGCGACGAGATCCACTTGCTGTGAGCACCTCTGTTTAAACCACTGCTACGAGAAACAGCAATTCTTGGGTTGAGGTGCAGGTAGGAGGCACGGGGAATGGAGCCAGCCACCAACAATGGGCAGGGCTGGGCCAGGTTCTTGGTGGGTCTGGAAAGACGTGGGGAGGACTCTCTAAACTGGGGAGGTTGGCATGGGTTTAATGAAAGATGGCGCATGATCCACAAGGCCAGGGGTTCTTCCCTCTGAGCTAAGGTACACCTGCTACCAGGGTTCAGACAAAAAGCCCCCTGGGGCCTGAGCACCTCTCATTTGCTCTGAGAGTCAGGTGGAACTGGAGATGCCTGTACTATTAGCCTGAGGTAGGAGGCGACACCAGCAACTCACAACACTGGGTGACAGCGCCCGCGGTGGTCAGATCGCGATATTCCCGGTACATATTGTGGGTGCCACTACGGGAGTCATAGCGCAGCCAGATACCAAAGTTCTTCACCCGCAGCGGGGACTTCTCAAACACCTGCCAAGGCAAGGGGTGGTCAGTATGAGTGCAGATGGCAAGCAGGCCTCACCTAGGGTCAGACCCTGAAGCAGCAGTTTCCAAGTCTTGCTCCTCTAGGCACCCTCAGGGGGCATGCTAAGTAAGGGAAATACCCCCAAAGCCCAGTGTAGAAAGGGTTCAGGCAGAGCTGCCTCCCAGCACACACAGACACCAATCTCCAAAGACAAGCAGGCCAAACTAGCCACTGCCCAATGTCCACTACAGTGCACCTGCCCAGTTACAGGACCTCTCCCTACTTCACAGACATGGCTAAGAGTCTTCACCAAGGATTGCCACGCCAACTACCCTCCTCCCAGGGTCCCAGGCTATATAACCATGGATCTGCACAGGGAAGCCCATCCCACACCATGGCTCCAGGTCTCTGAAGACTGCTAAGCCTGTAGCTATGCTCAGTGCCGGCTGGAAGGCAGAGATCCACTCCAGATCCAGTGTCTCAGACTCTCCATACCTGCCCACAGTAGACAATTTCCCCTGAAGACTTCTTCATCTTCTTTAGCTGAGATACAAAATACCAGAAGCGGGACTTGGCAACAACGTGATTGGGTGCAAAGATTCGCATTCGGTAGAGAGGTGGGGTGTGGCATTTGGGGGTGGGCAGGCAGCGGCCCACCACCTTGTATTCTCGAAGCTGAAAGAAAATAGCAGTAAGGCCAAGTTAGCAGCCAGAACCAAGCCTGGCAATAGCCAGATACAGGAAATGGACACAGGGTTCTCCTAGGATCTCCAGCGGGAATTCAGATGTTGTGGATCATATTCCCAACCCGACCTTCATCCACAAACCGGAGTTGGAGCAGTGAGGATTCTGGGTGCATTTCAAAATTTCTGATGTACATTTCAAATCTGCTGTCCCTCCCTTTCTTTTTACAAGTGGGAAAACTGAGACCTAGATTGGCAGCCTCCTTTCTCAAGCTGTCATCCCTAACTGCTCTGTGAGTCACTGAGAGTCACTCTGCGGTTTAGCGACCACCCTCTTCTATCCTGGGGCCTTGAGATCTCCAGACAACTCAAGAACGAACCAGGACAAGAACCCGGGGCCCTCTGCAACTGTGGGTTCCCTGCAGAACCCTCTCTACAGGTGTAAAGGTGAGGAGGTCTGCCAAGTCCACAAATGGCAACGCAGCCTTTACTGACATCAATGAAAAGTAGCCACAACTTTCCAAGACTCTGCTCCTACTTCCTGCTCTGGGCAGATCCACTGGCCTTGTGATCACCCACCCAGGAAGGGAACAATGGAGCTGGCCCACAACTGATCCAGGGAGGAAACCGAGGTTGGAGGTCTGTACCTCACCCGTTCTTTTTTTTCCCGGAGGCAGAGTCTTGCTAAATCGCCCAAGCTGACCCCGAACTCGCGATTCTCCCACCTCAGCCCTCCGAGCAGCTGGGACTGCAGGCGTGCGCCATCGCGCCGGGCTGGCAGTACGTTTTCCCCTGTGTGCTACAGTGCCCCGACTTTGCCCGGCGAGTGCACAGTCCTAAGACCCGCGCTCCTTGTATGCGCTCGATGTTTGCCACGTCTCCTCCCAGCCACGCCAGGGCAGAAGCGACTGCTATCCCCCACCAGGTTAACTTCGCAGACGGGCAAACTAACGCTCAGAGACTACAGGAAAGGTCGCGGCACAGCCCACCACGCTGTGCGACATGTCCCTTCCCCTGGGAAGCGGACTCGGCCTCCCTGGGCCCTTGCGCCGGCCCAGGCCACGCGCAGGCCTCCCCACGCGGCGCCCGCACGGCCGCCATGTTGGCAACACCTCGGGGCGTCGGCGCGCGGCCTAGGAGGACCCAGACGGGAGCACGCACCGCCGACTCGGCCTGCGCCACCGACCCGGGCCCCTGGTGAGGTCCGCGCCGCTTCCCCCAACCCCGGGCCACACAGCACCCGCCTTACCGTGCCCGAGGCCTTCATAGCGCTCTCTCTGCGATCGCCGCCACCCACAAAAGGAAGTTGTCTCCTTCGCGCAGCCGCTCACCATGAGTCCACGGCAGGAAGTTCCGCCCTCTAAAAGCTATGCGCTCATTGGCTTCTTGTCTCGGCGCTCAAGGAGGTCCGCTTCCTCATTGGCTTCGAATCCATCCACCAGTCCCAGCCCGGCCTCGCCTCACCGCGAGACTACATTTCCCAGGTGCAGCGAGCGTCACCTGTTCCGGGGCCGTGACCCAGCGTCGGCGCCAGAGGCAC